AATGCATTGATCATAACCTAGACTCAATCTCACATGAAAATGCTCATCTGCAAGCCTCGCAAAATCTGCAGCTATTGGCATCTGTGGCATTGGTTGGAGATGCTACATTTTGTCCATAAACTGGAGAAATGCTAAGCTTAAGATCTGGTGTAGAAGCTCAGGCTCGCAGTGTTGCCCTTGCTTGGGACACTTGCGACTGTGGTGTTCATGGTGATGCAGCATGTTGCTGGTGTCGGTGTCGAGAGTTGGATCTAGCAATATTGCTGTATGCTGTAGAGATTTTGGAGGCTGCTCCTACTGGGTCATGTTCATGTTATGCTCCTCTAGCTGTGATGACTGTGAATTTTTGAATGTCCTTCTTGGCATGGATAGTCGTCTGTAGCCAGTTTGAGTCCATGCTTTGAGTTTGCATCTGAAGTTGCCATTCCTCTGGAAAATGTTTGAACTTACCAACAAATTCATTTACAAGTTGCAATTGAATGCTATAACTTTTCTAAAACCTCAATAGGCAAATTTTCAAAGAACCAAGGTACTAACACTAGCTTATCATAATAAATCATTTTTGATAATCCAGTCATACTACTTAACAAGTAAATTAGCATCATTATCAACTATTTTAGGATTGATCATCATATGTAACTTTGTAAAGCAAGCAACTTTGTAAACACATTATCAATATATGATATTGAAATCACAATAATTTGATCATTAATTACGAGGAAAGTCCACATTACTACTATAAAGATTTACATTAGTATAATGTGATAACTTTAATCAAAAAAATGCAATACAAATGCCACACTTCATTAATAGAGATTTACAACACTAACACCTATAAATAAACTCATACCACTCTAAATTAAAAATTAATAAAAAACCAAGGTACTCAATAAGTTCCCCAAAAAAGAATTAAACATTACAATCTAAGTTTAGGCAAAATGGTTTAGCTGTTCATCACTACCCATTCCATGGTATACCACTTTTAAGACCACTATAACTAACATGCATCAAAGTAAATATTATTGATTATATGATGTGAACATGAATAATGACATCATACTTCATTATGGATCATTTCTTGGAGAGGAAAAATTAATTTATATATTTGATCCTTCGTCCTCTTTTTTCAAACTTAAATTAAACTAAACCTTTGATATAATAACTTTTTTTTCAGATTCAAACTTAATTAAACCTTAAACTTGCATTTGCACTACCTTAGCAATTAAGCTCACTATCACTATGCTGCGATCAACAGCATACTTGCAACACATTCTCAGCCAAGAAGAGATTAGCAAAGACAACCATGGAGCCCATGATCACCCTACAGAGCGCACTCACCATCAGTTGAGCTGAGAGACGTCATTGTCAGTTGAGCTATATTTATCTCTTTGCTCATTGCAAAAGTATGATCAAGCTAGTGAATGATCAAACTAGTGAATGCTGCCTTGGATGATAAATTCCACTCCTGCCATGGAGAGCCACTCATAAACTGGTATGCTGTCCATGAGCCTCATCTCATGCTCATAAAATGTACATTGTCCCGTTGAGTCGAAAAATTCCAACTGGTGCTTGTTGTCTCCTCAGTCCCTAGAAAGCAACAAACAACTACCAGTGATCCATGAGCATTCATAAATTTACAATACTGCTATGGTTGTGTTCTTGAAAGCCCTTGTAAAAACAATAAAAGTCGGGAAATCCTTTTACCTTTATTCAACAAATACCCCTGCCTTTCATGTGTATCACGCTTGCCAGTAAAGCTTCCATGAGTGGAAACCTCCTTGCAGTTGAGAGCTCAGGCAACTTGTTGCAGTAGTGCAGCTGTGTCGACACGAGCAGGTCCAGTACCTGTATGAAACCTGAAAGAGTTACGTACTGAGAAACGAGAGCCTAGCGACTTAGAAGTGGTGCTGTAGCAAACATGTACGAAGTCCACGCCACCTCTAATGCGCTCTTATTGTTAACCACCCTTGACATCTTTGTTAGTGGAAGGTGTGCACCCCCATCCCTGACAATTAACATAAGCCAAAATCAAAGAAAATTTAAAAACCAAACCTGTACTGCTTAGCTAAGATGTAGTGGTAGGAGCCCTTGAGAACCTGTTGTATCTCACCTCATGCAGTAGTGTTGCAGCCACTCCAGAGTCTGTGTGTAGTGACTTAATACAAAAGAAGAATATTTTAAACACACAAAGGAAATTATTGTATCAGGAAGTATGCTTGAATTAACAAGTTCACATCACTCAGCAAAAGACAAGCACAATCAGAATTCCCATGTTATGTGATGGTCTTTGACGCTACATTACTGGGGTACCCAGCTAAATGGCTAAGACAATCATATGACAGGCCCATCAAGTTGTTGACAGCTACCTCCACTTTTGCTGGTGTCAGATTTCCCAGGTTTGGATTATTCATCGCCAACTAGATCCTAATCTCATGTTTGAAAGCCTAGAGAGTTTTTAAGCGGATGTGCTTTAGGAATACAAAATACTGAATTTGCAGCATGGTAACGGAGGAATCTACTCCCAAAACAGTGACAGTGTCGTTTTATCCAAACTTATGCAATTAAGCAAGCTTTGTTCAATTCAGTTCTACAATGTCAACTCCTGGACAAACGAGCCAAGCCCTAAAATATGTTCAGGCGGCTGATTCACATGGCAACGGTGACTAGGAGTAGGAGTGGCATCCACACAGCAATCGCGAGTAGGAGTAGGAGCGGCAGTGAAGGCAGGAATGTCTCTCAGGTGAGCAAACCACCCACCCAGGAAGCCTACAAAGAGTTTGGAGAGTTTCTGTGGATGGTGATGCTCCGCCTAGACAACCGTGTCCTCGGCCAAGCCTTTAAGGTGCTGGGCAACTCGGATCTTACCACCAGATGCCTCCAGGGGTTTCTCCTGCATCACAGCCTCAAGTACACCGAAATTGTGGGCGGCCAATTCCCCCGTCTTGAAAAACCACTCGGGTTTGACGACATAGGCGACTACCCCGTCCCATATACACACATGATCAAGCTCGTGGACGACGTCTGGGAGGATGCAAAGCGGGACTCGCGTGGAGAGCCCCCCCTACATTACTGCACACGTGAAGAAACACGCCTCGTCCACGACTTTTGCCGGAGTCTTGCCTGCCGAGCCGAGAAGGAAGTCTTCTCCGGGGAGCCAAACGTGCACGAGTTGCAGGAGCAGGCGCGTCTGTTTGGCGCTGAGTGCTGGACCAGGTTTTTAGGTCTGCAGTCCAGCAACCTCACCATTCTGATCGAGGAGCAATCTAGCTCATATGCTACACCAGTCGTTCCATGCACTGATTTCTTCTCCAACGCTTCCTTGACAAAGTGTGGCAGGGGCCTCGAGTTGGCGCAGGAGGTGGCTGATGCCGGGGGGCTGCCTCAGTTCCCTGATCACGGCGGTCTAGTTGCTCTCTACAACTTTGAGAAGAAACATGCTTACCAGCTGCTGCTAAACTGCCTCAAGCACATTAATAAAGGTATGGCTTTGATCCTGCCTGGAGTTTTTTTATTTCTTTTTCTCTGTGGCGTTCAGGATATGACAAGCGCAAGCTATTGTGGTCGTCCTTCGAGAACCAGCAGTTCTACACTGTCGATGTGCAAGTGCCGGGTAAGTCAACTGCAGACAACGTTATCTCATGTTTTTTTTTCTCTTGCGTACTACTGTACAGGTCTCTCGTCGCTGGATCAAGTGCATGTTGAAAAACATGGACGGGGTGTGCTTGTTTCCACGGAGATGGACGTTTACCGCCCCGAGAAGCTTGCCGTTCCTCCTTACGCCAACGTCGACGGTTTAATAGCTAATCTGCAGGATGAGATTCTCACCATTCGCCTTCCCAAGGGGGCCGCTGCGCCGACAGTGCCAATTGAGGACCATGACGAGGCCGAGCTGGACACGATTTCTTTTCCTTTTCTGCTGCAGCCACGAGCAAACGTCTCAAGGCAGCTATTGTAGATGACAAGAATCACCACATTCTTCGTGTCGAAGTTCCAGGTTCTGTGCAGGCGTGTCGCGAGAGGAAGTGATTGTGTGCACTAGGAGCACAACTTCACAAGAAAGCAACCATATCCATGTTTAGCCATCTTGAGATTTATTTTTATAAAGGTTTAGTTCCAATAAAATTCTAAGAGTAAAATTATTCTATTTCTTTGTACTTATTTAACACAATAAAAGTATGAGATAATAACACTTTGATTGAGTGTCATGTTTACTTTTTCATACATGAATATTAATGTTTTCTTCATTAATATGTTTCATCCTATGAGGCACAACAGGATTCAAAACATATAAGATACATTGATGGAAAACAATAGTTTTAAAACAGCTTAGGATATTCTTAGAATATTCTCTATATAGTTAAAATATTTAATCATTTAATGTTTTTCCAAACCATCCAATGATATAATCATGCATATTCTAGGATGGAGCACATCTAAGGCTAAAACAAGCTTGAGTCGTGATTCTTATGCATGTGAAACATTCATCAACCAAACACAGAAGGTTGCTCATTTGGGGCTATGAGCATCTAGCATGAATTTTAACTCTTTCAAACTTAAGCTAGTGTGTGCTCAAACCGTTCCTCCAACAATTCAGATTTCAACAAAAGAGCAAAAATGCATAACAAAGTAAAGTGTTTCAAACATAGCACTGGAATGAAAGTGTTTCTCGAATTAAGCTAAATTTTTATTTCACATGGGAGATTTAAGGACTTTTTTTTATCAATGCTTGAAAAGCTGGGACTCCCCAAGCAAAAGCATTTATTTCCTACAGTTGAATATTATATGTATGAATATGCTGAAGGCTGATATTCTATCATATTTCACTTACAAAACCCACAACATCTCTGAACCCTTAATCCCATAATACTTGCAAAGCAAAATGTGAATGAGAATATGTTTTACTTTTAATTTCTTGATTGTTTCAAGAGTACTTCAGATTTTTCTAAAATCTAAAGTTTAGAAGAAAATTAATAAATAACGAAATCTAATTTAGTTTAAAGTATGTTAAAGGGATATCATAAGAATATTTTTTGTACAAATAATAGAATCCTAGAATATAAATATAAAATTTAAATATTCCATATTTAAACTCTAGAAAGAGTCGGTAACAATCAACTGTAAATGCCGCCAGTCCCATACATGTCGACAACCCGATAGCCAGGCGCCAACGCGGTGTTTGGCTTCGTCCACGACTATCCGGGCCTCAACACCATCGGCCTCGCCATGGCGGTACGCCTCCACGAACCCCGCGGCTAGCAGGGGCACACCACCGCCAGTGGTAAACACCGTCGCCGACACTGCCACGGTCGCGCCAGCGCGTCCATGTCAATTCTCCCGCACCCCCGGCGGTGTGCTGCCGCCCCCTCCTCTCTATCTCGGCTCGTGGTCGCGCTGCAAGGACACCAACAGGAACTCTCCCACCGCAATACTGCACGCGCCGGCGATGAGGCCAGCGATGCCCGAGAGGACGCTCGTTACTGTTCCTGGAGGAGTGATGCTATTGAGGCTAGGCCGTCGTCGAGAGCCCGCAGCTGAGCGACGGGGAGGCTGCTCCGGCACTCTTTGGCCGCTTCTCCATGTCCCTCGGTTTGTTGCTCTGCTGCTTCATTTCGCAGCTTGGGCGACTTTACTGCCTCGTGATCTGACTCTGGAACCGGTTTACTGGAATCACATGATCCAGCTTCTCAAATACCCGACATTTCCTGAAACCGCAAGTTTAAAACATAAAACGATGATTAATGCGGAGAAGAAAAGAAATAAATGTGAATACCTGGTAACTGAAATAAATAATTCTTGCATTCTCATCCGAACGCGTGGGTCTTAAGTTGTAACACAGTCCCACTGTTTGGTTTCTACGAGGGAAGCTTTGTCTCCGTCTCTGTCTCGTCCAAATCGACGCAGTTCGTCACGTCACTTCCTCCGAGTCTTACGTTTATGCTCCTCCTTGTCGTCTGGGAGCTGCATTCCCATCATTCCCAGGACGTTAGACGCTGGTCCGGGCAGGCCTTGCTGCGATGAGTACGAGTCGAGCAGGTTCTTAAGCAGGTTGAGGTCTACGTCCACGTGCAAGTTGTCATCTCCGGTAGCGGTAGCAGAAGTAGATGCTGACCCAGAAGCGCGAGACACGTCAGGTTGAGCAAATGTTTTGGAGACGCTCGAGTTTTTAAGCTCGTGTTGGATAGCGTCGGAGTACTCCTCCATAAAATCATCCTCACCTTTCGAATCGTCGTCTGAGCTTTCAAACGGAAAACAATTTAGAGCTTGCATATTGAGAGGAGAGAAAACGAATACCTTCACCCGAATCTGAATCTGAGGAGCCCGACTGTAAGTCCCCGGCACGCTCATTATCCAGTTTCAGTGCTGTTTTGAGCTCTTGCATAAAATTTTCCAAATCCATAGACACAGGCTCGTCATCTGTCAGTTGATGGTTAGCAAAAGTCCCAAACAAGATCACAAAATATATCTTACTCTTTGGTACCTCGGCACCCTCAAAACTTGAGATTTTGTCCACAAATGACTTCATTGTCTTGGTCAATTCGCTGGGATCAAACTCGCCTTCGACAACAGGTGCCAGAGTTTTAGCACCACTTTTCTTATCATGAGCGTCCATTTCCTTCTGTCTCTCTTGCATGGCACTTGTTAGCTCATCTTCACCTCTATATAACCACGAGTCATCGTCACTTTCCGGGATATCCACATTCATGAAATCCTCGGCTTTATGTTCCAAAGCCAAAATTTCGTCAATTCGTTTCGCAGGGACTTGCATTGCTTCTCTGGAAAAACGCAGAAAATTTAAAAAAGATTAACTTCCCGTCAACCTTTACCTTATTCTTGAAAACGTTTCAGTCTCTCGGTAGCTGGCAAAGGCAGCGTCCAAAAGCTGGCGGTGTTCTTTCGATCCTTCAAGAAGATCTTTAAAGTAACCTCTAGCCTCCAGGCCCTTTCGAAATGTTTTGCCTACCGCCTGCTCATCCTGGAAATTGGATCGTTCCCAGTACATCATCTCAAAACCGCAGGCCAGCTTCACGCCAATGTCATCTTGTCCCTCCGCAGGATAAATCCGAGGAGCCTGGAAAACCTGCTGCTTGAGCTGAGCGTACATAGCCTTGGACAAGCAAACCGCCACAGTGACTATCTCATCCTGCCCTCCACGTAAAAACTTCTCCATCCTCGAGGCCGCAGCCATTGCATCGTGATCGCGAGTGTAAAACGCCTCCACCGCCAGAGCAACCAGCTGTGGCTCGTGCTTGAGCACCTGCGCTACGCTCAAAGGAACCTTGCATCTCACTCTGTGCATGTTCTTCCGGGACCGCTCGGGATATCCTTCCAACTTTCGGCCGATTGCTGCCTGGACACCCTCGGAAGCTCTAGTATCGACGCTTCCGCTGGAAAGAACTCTCACGGCCTCTGCCAGCGTTGGATTTGCTAGAGAAAGGCCAACGTGAGCCGGAGAGGTGGGCAGTGGAAGAATGTGAAGTGACCCCTGGCTGATGAACACCCTGTTCTGGCTGTTCTCTGGTTTCAACCATCTTGGTATCGCGTACGCTGCCTCTATGAGCAAAAACTCCCCATCAGAGTCCCACACCCTGATATACACCCCCGGAATCCTCCGAGAAATCTCGTAGAGCAAGTAAACCACGAACCACTCATCCTCCAGATTATGCCCATACCTCGTTCTTCCATAGACAAGCGGCAGCCCGGGATCGCAACGAGCCGCCGGCTCCTCCTCACCGGAAAATGCCGGCTCCCTGTGCGATGGCGGCGCCGAAAGCGCTACCTGCAAATCGAACTGCGCGTGCTGCCAGATGTATCCACGGACAAGCGGCGACGCTACAGCTAGGCAATCGTCGCGGAGGCGCTGGAGCTGGATCAAGGCATCGCCATCGCTCGCGCCGGCTGGTAATCCCGGATAGATCGAATAGAACACCGCGTCCTCGGCACCAGCATCCATCGCCAAACCCTACCTAAACCCTAGCTGCTTAGTGAAAAGGGTGATTCCACAAAAAGAAAAAAATGTGAAAAGTTTTATTTGTTAATTGGTAAACAAAGTTACGCGGCAAAAACTTCTACCGCTGGTGTCAAAGTGCATGGTAAATTTCTCCATTACCACCTTGTTAAATTCCTCTGTGTAGTGAATTCCATCCCAGCTCGCAAACTCGGTGCTGTTCGTGCAAGCCCTCCCTTTGCCTCATCCACACGTAAACATGGTAGCGACGCCATTGATCGTCCCGGTCTGGCAATTAGACTCGCCATCGCCGTGCGGCGATCCACAGCACGCCCGCAGCGCATTCTCGGCCGGGAAGCTGTTCATCGCATCGATGCTGGCCTGGAAGAGATCGGCGTAGACAACCGTGGAGCCGGCGATCGCCCCGCCGAGAGCGCTCACCGTCGCGTTGAGCTGCGAGGAGAATGCCTGGGCGATGTCGTTGTAGCTCTTGACGCAGTTGAGCCCGTCCCTCTGGGTCTGGCCGTAGAGCTTGGATTGCGCGAGGAAGAAGGGCTGGCAGCCCAGCGCCGGCTGGTTGAAGATGAGGAACTTCTTGGCGCCGCCGAGCTGCGGGAGGATCATGGTCTCATTGTAGATGGTCTCGGCGACCATGGGCACAACCATCGCGGTCATGTTTTGGACGCTTACATGCTGGGCGAAGAGATTGTAGGCGAAGTCCGCGGAGCCGGCTTGGATCACGAAGAGGGCGTCCGAAAAGGAAGCTGGCGATGGGAGCTTGGTGGATCCGGAGGTGGCGTTGGCCAGGTGCTGGAGGCGCAAGAACTCGAAGACCTGGACGTCGAGATCGAAGGGGTTGTGGTTCTCGTAGACCGAGGCGGCGGTGGATCCTCCATAGGCAAAGTTTGCGCCGTGGTGGAAGTTGGAGCCCATGGTGATGCTCCGCAAGTATGGGGACAGGAGAGGGAAGCCAAGGTAATCAGTGAGGTAGTCGATCATAAGCTGGCCATTGCAAAACCTTGAGTGTTGATAGAAATCCTTGCCCTAGGGGCAGTGCTGCGATGGGATATGCGAATTGGGGAGATTGAAGATGTTGAAGTACGGGAAATCTAGCGTCCAGGTTGCCAGTGTCGGAGTAAGAGTCACCAAACTTGTAGACGGATGAGACTTTCAGCGTCTGGATCCCAGCCACGAGTAATGGGCTTGAAATTAGAGAGAATGATACAAGAACAATAAACCACAGAGACATTTTTAGGAAACTAATGGGAGAATTGTGCCTTTATACATGAAATTGTGAATCAGATTAGAAATGAATATATTTCTATGAGGTTTATTTTAAATTAACTGGGCCACTTTTGTAAATATTAAGATTAAATTTATTTTTGGCCATAGTTATTTTTCTATCCCCTCATTGGAACTTGGGACACCTTATTGTTTTTATCTTTGAAAATCCTCACTCTATCCCAGATATAATCATCACTGTAAGCACCATCATCTGGAAGCACTTTAACATCAACACCAGCTCCGACCTCACGCTGAATCGTGTTCTTGGCTTGCTCGGCATTTGCTCCCAGAAGTTCATCCCATCTATCTGCAAAAGAGAATTTGCGAATTCAATCAGAAAATGAAAAATGAGAGAAAAATGTGGAGAGATCATACGCTTGCTTCCATTCACATTCAAAGCACAGCCAACGAGCATAAGGAGGAGGATAGAAACATAACCATTTATCTTCCTCATTCTCTCCAAGTTACTAATATCTAGATCAATGGCGAGTTTTAAAGACAAGGAGGAACTCTGGATGTATCAACCAGAGGCTGTGATTAAAGCAATGCAGACTTTTGTTATTTAGCTTGGATCCAAAGAAGGGGTTCAGGGCACGGAGGCTGCGTGAGAAGGATAGGTGAGAGCCCAAATCCCAGACACTCGAGCCTGGGGTGATCACTTTGATGGGATTGAAGTCGCAGGTGGCAGAGTTTTACCACCACTTTTCTAATTGTGAACGTCTATTTCCTCTTGCACGGCACCTTTATATAACCACGAGTCATCGGGATACCCCGGCTCTATGTTCCAAAGCCACAGGGGCCTGCATTGCTTCTCTGGAAAAGATTAACTTCACGTCAATCTTCGCCAAAACGTTTCAGTCTCTCGGTCGTCCAAAAGCGGGCGGTGTTCTTTAAGAGATTGCCTCCAGCCTCCAGGCCCTTTCGAAATGTCTTTCCCACCGCCTGCTCATCCTGTAAATTGGAGCGTCCCAATACATCATCTCGAAACCGCAGGCCCCACTCTCCTCGCGAGAGTAAAAAGACTCCACCGCCAGGTGGAGAGGTGGGCAGCGGACACACTCTGTTCCGGCTGTTCTCTGGTTTCAACCATCTTGGTATCGCTCTATGAGCAAAATCCCCCCATCATCGCCCACCCATGACATACACGTCTCGTAGAGCAAGTAAACCACGAACCATTCATCCTCCAGATTATGCCCATACCTCGTTCTTAGCCCGGGATAGCAACGAGGCGCAAGTCGAATTGCGTGCTGGAGCTGGATGCCTATACTAAAACCCAAAACCCAGCAAGGAACGCAAAATGTTGATGCGGCTGATAGGCGCGACTAGGAGTAGGAGCGGCATCCTCACAGCAAGCGCAGCTAATAGCTCTTTCAGGTGAGCAAACCACCGACCCAGAAGCCTACAAAGAGTTTAGAGAGTTTCTATGGGTGGTGATGCTCCGCTTAGACAACCGTGTCCTCGGCCAAGCCTTTAAGGTGCTGGGCAACTCTGATGTTACCACCTGCGGCCTCGAGGCGCATCTCCTGGACTACACGCTCAAGTACACCGAAATTGTGAGCGAATTCCCCCCATCCACTGGAAAACCACTCGGGTTTGACGACATCCCGTCCCATATACACACATGATCAAGCTCGTGGACGGCGTCCGGGAGAATGCAATTCGCGACTTGCGTGGACGGGAAGAAACTCGCCTCGTGCACGACTTTTACCGGAGTCTTGAAGTGCACGAGTTGCAGGAGCAGGCGAGAGTGTTTGGCGCTGAATCCTGGACCAGGTTCTTTCGTCTGCAGTCCACAAACCTCACCGCTCTGGTCCATGAGCGCTCTATATCACATGCTACACCGGTCGTTCCATGCACTGAATTCTTCTCCGACGCTCCCTTGACGATGTGTGCCAGGAGCCTCAAGTTGGCGCAGGAGGTGGCTGATGCCGGGGGGCTGCCGCAGTTCCCTGATCACGGTGGTCTGGTTGCTCTCTACAACTTTGAGAAGAAACATGCTTACCAGCTGCTGCTAAACTGCCTCAAGCACATTGATAAAGGTATAGCTTTGATCCTGCCTGGAGTTTTCTATTTCTTTTTCTCTGTGGCGTGCAGGATATGACAAGCGCAAGCTATTGTGGTCGTCCTTCGAGAACCAGCAGTTCTACACTGTCGATGTGCAAGTGCCGGGTAAGTCAACTGCAGGCGACGTTATCTCATGTTTTTTTTCTCTTGCGTACTACTGTACAGGTCTCTCGTCGCTGGATCATGGACGGGGTGTGCTTGTTTTCACAGAGAAGGACGTTTTCCGCCCTGAGAAGCTTGCCGTTCCTCCTTATGCCAACGTCGACGGTTTACTAACTAATCTCCAGGATGAGATTCTCACCATTCGCCTTCCTAAGGGGGCCATTGCACTCGAAGGGACAGCTTCGACAGTGCTAATTGAGAACCATGACAAGGCTGAGCTGGCCTTTTCTGCTGCAGCCACGAGCAAACGACTCAAGGCAACTATAGCTGGGAAGCTTAAACTTCCTTTCCTGGAAGACGTTCTGTGGCACAATCACTTCCTCTTGCCACAAGCCTGCATGGTTGCAAAGCAAAAGCAATTGAGAATACATGAAAGCTTCCAGGGACATACCTGGAACTTTGATATGAAGAATGGTGATGATTGTCATCTACAAGACCGTCTCTTTGGAACGGCTTGGTTATCCCAATTGTAATATTCTTAATTATCGGTAAGAGAAAAAAAGTAGCACACAAAATTAATCTAAATGAATAAATGTAGAATGTCCTAAAATATTCACACATATTGTAAGTATCTAATAATCACTCATTAATAGCCATCACTGTGGCTTATTTTATTACTAAAAATCAAGAAAAATGAGCAAACTCCCCAAAGAAAGAAAAATAGTATTGTTGTGTTTGTTATGCATTGCAACTTCACAAGCTGCTTACAGGTTTGCTTGAGTAAAATAATTAATGAGAAAAACATTTATATTCATTTGTGAAAGATAAAAAATAAATATAGCATTCAATCAATATATTAATATTTTATATTGTTCAAGAATCGACCTAGAATAATTTTTATTGTCAACACTTAGAATTTTATAAAAGGCCAAACCTTTTATAAGATAAAAAAGCACATTTTAGATGTGTTTAGACTCTTAGAATATTCTTGGATATTCTTGAATATTCTACTATTTAACAGTTATAATTTTTAGACTTTCGTAAACAATTCCTAGTATATTATTTTATTCTTATGCAATAATTATAATTATACACTAGATTAAATTACTAAATAATAATAAATAAAAATAAAAATACTATTATCAAGTGTTGTTGCATACAATATGTAGCAAATTATTCATCCTGGGCCATAATAAGATTTAAATATATAAGATAAATTGATTTAAATTATATATTTACTTGGAAAGCAAAATTTCTTTAAAACAATTAATATTATGATGTTGAAGTATACAGCTATGATGCCATATACTAATATTAGTGTAGTGGGTTTTGAAAGCTATCAAATTAATTTCAACTTTTGTATATAACCTAGGGTTTTTAGGCTTATTTCAATATTCTATACACTTACATTGGTGTAGGTGAGGGGCATTTTTAATTGTCCTTGATGAATGGTTATATTTAGGATTTTGGTTTAGATGAAGCTTTTGCATTGTTTAAATTTCACTTTCTTTATAAATTTTTCAATTTTTTCTTTTTTTTTCTTTTCGTTCATTTTTATATAGAGTAGTAGCCTCCAAAGTTTAATTGTTTAACTACAATTGCATAGCATCAAGCAACTACATTAACTACTATTCCAGAGTTAAAGGAGGTTGATAGTAGCATTCATAAAATGTATTATAACTCCTTTTGCTCTTATTACCAATCCTCATGTTTATTCAGAGTTTTTTTGCGGGAATCCTAGAATAATGTATATCATTAGTTTGATCACTTTATAGTGATTTTTAACTATCATTCTTAGGATGATACCTGGTATTTACATAAGTTTCCACATGTCTTTAAGGGATGGCATTATAGTGGTACAATAGTTTAAGCACAACCATTTATGTGGATTGGAGTATTCTCCTAGATGTTTTCAAGTGTGCATTTGAATATATTAACAATTGTGATAATGCCTTTTAACAATTGCATCGTCTTTATTAAAGGTCATTTGAGTCAATAATGCAATTTGGCATTTGTTTTTAGAACCTTTTGATTTGTGTGGAACCAAATATGTTAAAACGGATCAAGTTGGGAATGTTATGCCCACCTCAAGATTTTGTTTGACTTGCATATGCACTTGCTCTAACCATTCATGATAATACTTTTTAACTAGCATAATGTTATAAGATATCACTTCTTCCACTTCTCATTATATATCCTTTAACTCCACTTCCTATAAAAGATGATCCTATTCCAATAGAGGTTAATGTTATTGTTGCTCGTGTTCAAGGAAAAAAGCAAGGACATGGTCGTGGCTATGATGTCAATTGTTGAGTATATGATGAAGTTAACCACACATACCGGTATTAACATTTTTCAAATTAGCATCTTCTATTTCTTGGATGGAGGCATTGGCATTAATAATGTGAAGGGTTCCAAATGTATAATAAAGATAGTAGGTAAATTGGGTATGGCTGACTAATCTGAGTATAGTTTAGTTCATGCTTGCATGCTGTAAGGAACCGACTCCCCGAGATGTCGTAGGCTAAAGGATCCCCAAAAGCTTGACCGAAGTGACAAAGAGTTCATCGGATGGGACCAAGTCGAGGATCGAGTCCAGATCGGCTTGTTGCAAAGCATCCCAATTCCAGATCGCCCGTGGAAATGTCTTACGATGGACTTCATCACAGGACTACCCCCAAGCGAGGGGTTCGATGCGATATTCGTGGTGGTGGACCGATTTTCAAAGATGGCACATTTCATACCCACCACAACGGACGTGGATGCGGAAGGTGTGGCGAAGCTGTTCTTTGAACAAGTGGTTCGAGTGCGGGGAAGGCCGGAAGAGATTATCTCAGATCGAGATAAGATCTTCACTAGTAGGTTCTGGAGGACACTCCTAGAACAGTATCGCACCAAATTGAAATTCAGCACAACCTATCACCCACAGACAGGTAATGGGTATTAAGTCAAGATTGATGGCACTAACACTTCTTGACAGACGGACAAACGGAAAGGGTGAATAGGCAGCTGGAGGATTATTTGCGATGCTATGTCTCGGGAGACCAGACCGACTGGGTAAGTCATTTGGGACTTGCGGAAATGTGTTATAACAACTCACCACACTCAAGCATCGGGGTGAGTCCATGGGAAGTCATCAATGGGCGAGCTATTGAAGGTCCTGTGGAACTCGGCGTGGCCGAGTATCATGGAGAGTTACCCGCAGTGGAGGCATTCACGGCGGAAAGACTCAACATTTGGAATCTAGTGAGGGATTCCTTGGAACGGGCTCAACAAAGGCAAACTAAGTACGCGAACCAAAAGCGTCGGGATGTGGAGTTCCAAGCTGGGGAGAAGGTGTGGCTGAACACCAAGAACCTCAGACTACCAAGCTGGATCAGCCTAAAGTTGACCCAAAGGTAAAGACGCATGTATTCCTGTAAATGAATTGATCTTGAGTTCCTTAAGCAGGTTCGCGGGGCCTTATGAAATTGAGGCACGAATCGGTAAAGTGGCTTACCGACTCCGACTTCCTCGAGAGATGGGGAAGATGCACCCAGTGTTCCACGTGAACTTACTCAAGCCGTACTTTGAGGATCCGCTTCGCAAGGACCAAGTGAGACCTTTACCTGAGGTTATCCAAGGGGAAGAGGAATACGAAGTCGAGGCCATCCTCAATGCGCGCAAGAGCAAGCGACAAGGACGCGAGGTGAGAGAGTTCCATGTGAAGTGGAAAGGATTTCCACACTGCGAAGCAACATGGGAACCGGAGGAGAACCTAGCGAACGCACGAGATCTAGTGGAGGAATTTCTGCAAGGCAGAACTTTATGTACTTATGCAAAATTCAATTAAAAATATCAATTTGCAAAGTTGAGCAAATGGCATATGTTGGGACCCGAAGGCGCGCCAAAGGTAAGCTAATTAGCATGGGTTGGATAGGTCGACCAGGCGTAGGGCACTACGCCCGACTCCCTGCGGGGATGTCGAATCCGTAGACGTATTCTACGGAGGTTGGGTTCGAGTCCCAACCCCCTAGTAAAGCAAGGCTGGGTTCAAGTCCCGACCCTATACTAGGGCGTGGTGAGGTGAGGAATATAGGGACACCTATATTCCGTTGTCATGGGCTCTTGGCCGGGGAGGCTAACTTAGGCACACCGCTAAGTGGGGGGATGCCCCCGGAGACATGGACAACAAGTCGTAGGATAAGACGAGACGTTCGATGTGGGCATCGAACTTCTTCTATGGGTGGTGGAGTTGTAAGGAACCGACTCCCCGAGATGTCGTAGGCTAAAGGATCCCCAAAAGCTTGACCGAAGTGACAAAGAGTTCATCGGATGGGACCAAGTCGAGGATCGAGTCCAAGACCGACTCTAGGACCGAGTTCGAGATAGAGTCCGGAATCGAGTCCGAGACCGACTCGGGGACCGAGTTCGAGTCCGAGTTCGAGACCGAGTTCGAGACGGAGTCCGAGATCCGAAATCGGGTCCAAGACCGAGTCCGAGGTCGAGTCCGAGGTCGGGTCCGAGATCGGGTCCGAGATCGAGTCCGTGATCGAGTCCGAACCCGAATCCGAAGTCGGATCCGAAATCGGGTCCGAGATCGAGCCAGAGACTAAGTCCAAATACTAATACGGGTCAAGGGGTGAAAGCCCAAAGCGTGCGTCTCCCAGGGGGGGGGGGCTGCAGGGGGTTCCAAAAGTATAGTAGGGATAGTGAGGTCCAGGAACCAGTTTTGAAGGGACTCTCCAGTTGGGCTTCCAAACCGACTTGAGGTTGGGACTGGGACCGAGGGGCCTTGGGTGGGAGTGAGCATGGACTTGGCTGGTGCCGGAGGGGCCATCCAAGGAAGTGCTCAAGAGCAGCTCCCACTCCCGAAAGGGAAACCGATTGCGGTGCTCCCGGCTCATGTGGAGTGGTGCCCCACTTGAGTACCATGCGGCTCATTGGTCCTCGCCCTTCCTAGGGGCTTGGGCCTTCCTTCGGGATGGAAGTGGGGGGCGAGAGGTACCCATACCGGGCCGCTAGGCCACGGTGTTTCGCCCCGGCGTCCCGAAGCAAGCGTTGCACTCAAGACTTGGGATTTAGAGGGTCCCATGATCAAGT